CAAATACTTTTATTGTTTTGGTGTGATCTTTTTCATACACTTTTCATTACACAGTTCAGGCTCTCCTTAAACATCTTTGTAGGCAGACTAGCATGGAAATCACAGTGATTGTCCTACCTCAGACTCCTGAGTGCTGGAATTACAGGTATGTGCCAACATGTGTGGACCAGGAATCTTGACAATTATATGCCTTTGTGTAGATTTGTTTTGGTCTTGGATAATAGCTGTGCTACATGCCTCACATATCTGTATGTCAAATTCTTTTTCCACACTTGGGAAGTTTCCCATTATCACATCAGGTTTTTGTCATTTGTGCTATCTCTTGCTGTTCCATTGACTCTGATCCATCTTCTTCTTTATATTGCAAGTATTTGATTGATTTTTTGTGATTTTTTTTTAAAAAAATCTTTTTGTGATCACTAACCTCAGTCCTAGCCTCTAGATCTGATATTCTGTCCTCACACTTGTTCTGTTGCACATACATTCAGTAGAATTTTAAATCTTTTGGGTATGTACTTGAATCTAATTCATTAATTGCATTCTTTTAGTATCTTGAACATTCATGGTTTCCACCATCTTACTAAGGTGTTTCTTTTGTTTGTTATTTTTAAGTCTGGGTCTTCACTAGATTCACTAATCATGCCTTTTAATTGATCAGCTATTTCTCATTTTGTTTTCTTGAGCCTTATTCATTTGCTTTATTTTCCTGTTACCCCTTGATTTTCAAAGACAGAGAATGAAAAATGAGTCTTAAAAGCAGTTCTAAATACAAGTTATGGTACCATGATCAGCTACAAAAATGATGAGTATAATAGGTCTTTCCTGGACAAGAAGATAGCGGCTTGATAGGTAGCTGGGTGGAGAGCCTCTCTGGGAAACACGGCTCAGACGCTGGAATTTGACAACATGAAGAGGGCTGGATGAGGGGAGAGTGATTCCCACAACCCCAAGAGGAAACTGAAGGAAAAAGAAAAATAAGAAGAGGAAGGAACAACGTGGGTGTAGGGCAAGAGCCAGACGCGCTCACTGGGAACTGTTCTGTGCTGTGCTGGGCGCACCGTGGGGTCAAACGATTCAAGGACATGCTAAAGCTACTGATAATGAATTGGTGAGTCCTGGGCCCTTGACAGGAGAATACAGCGCAGCATGGAGTGGAGCCAAGGTGGAGAGCTACATTAATTCTTGGTGAGTGCTGGAAATCGGGTCCCATGATGGGTGTGGCCAGCTGGAACCCTGATTGGAGTTGGGCAGAGTCCAGGGCTGCGGTGGTTTCAGTCAGTGGCCCCTGGCCCAGGGAGGACTAGTGGGATCAGCTTGGGCTGAGTCACGCCCCTAGTAGGGACACAAAGGCCAGGGACAAAACTGTCTGGACCCTGACATCCACAAAGCACAGGCTAAGTTGCTGAAGACACTTGCTGGTTGACTGGCTCAGAGAAGAGCAGTTAGCCCACAGTCCCTGTGTACACCTCAGACAACAGCAAACTGGAGAGAGCACCAAGCCCCCAGCCAGCATGCTTCAAAAAAAACTAAGCAATACAGAGAGGGCCTGAAACCTTCACCACTCACCTGTCTGAATAAAACTAGAAACAAGAGAAATAAATTAGAAAAAACCTCCAGCCACTGACCCTGGCAAAATAAGCCCAGGAGAGGTAAATACAGACGAGAATCAGTGAGCAATCATGCAAAATTGACCACAACATCAGTGGACATAAAAAAAAAAATACCTTTCTGACCTCGTAGACAAACTTAAAACTGAAATTCTAATCCAAGTGAGACAAGATATAAAAAGATTAATAAAAGAAGGGCTAAGCCCCTCTCAAGAAGACACAGAAGAATGAAGGAATGCAGAAAAGGAAGAGAAACCTTTGGTGAAGAATAAAAACAAAATCTAGAATACATGAAACAGATCCTAAGAGATTACCAGGAAATCAAAAACTCAATTGAAAGCTGGCAAAATGCCTTGACAAAAACTAAAATTAGCCTTTCAAAACTTGAAGGTAGATTTGCAATGTGTGATCATGAAAGAAAAGACCTCTTAAAAATAACTAGGAACCAAGAAGTAACAATTCAAAAGCTAGAAGACAACAAGAGGATCAATAACTTAAGAATTAAAAACGTGAGAGAAGCAGGAGTAACCACAAATGAATTACAGAGGCTATTCACAGAAATAATTTTTAAAAAACCTACCCAAACATAGGTAAAGGAAATGATATCCAGATGAGGCGTACAGAACTCCAAACAACTACAACCAAAACAGATCTAGACCCAGACATATAATAAAGATTCCAGAAATCCACCACAAGAACAGAATATTAAAAGCAGTCAGAGAAAAGAAGCAAATCACCTATAAATGAAAATTCATCAAAACAATGACAGACTTCTCAACACAAGCTATCAAATCAAGAAGAGCCTGGGGGGAAGTAGTCCAAGCCCAAAAAGAAAATAACCTCCAACCCAGATTGATGTACCCTGAAAAACTCTCTCTCAAAACTAATGGAGAAACAAGATGTTTCCAAGACAAGGAGGAACTGTGGGAGTTCATGGCCACCAATCCAACCCTACAAAAAATACTGAAGGACATTCCAGAGGAAGAAACTAAAATACCAGGATTCCAGCAACAGTGGCAGAGAGGCCTCAGTGAATGGGGCACTGGAATGGGACAGTGGAATAAAGGAGAAAAGTGGACAAATAATAGCAAAAACATAGAATAGCAGAGATGAGGCAAAGAAGATGGGCTATAATCTCTAATATAGATAACCTTGATACACTAACAAAAAGAAACACAGGCAGAGTAGGAGGCAGGATCCATCAAGATGCTCTGAATAGGAAATATTATATTCAACATGAAAGAGGGTTAATAAACTGAAAGTCAAAGATGATAAAATGATGCTCTATGTGACAGGGAACCAGAGAAAAATAGGGACAACTTATCCAGCAGCTGCAGATAGGTTGGAAAGTTATGACACTTTTGTGCAGTGTAGAACTACACAGCTAGAGGGAAGGAAAACCTTCTGGCTTTAGTAAGTAAAGGAATACAGCTCAAGATCAAGCTCAGGGGTAAAAAGGTTCAGCACCACTCAGATAGATAACGGGTTGGCCCCCTAATCTAAAAACTAAAGGAGCTAGTGGGATCCAAAATTTGCAAGGCACCCTGAGAAAGGGAAAGGTGAGGAATTGCCTAAAAAAGGAAGGCAGAGGACATTGTTAATAGTGTATCAGGATTTAAAAGCCACAGTAGTCTTATCACTGTTTAGTTTGATTTTATTTTGTTCTGGTCTGTCTACTCATACTAGATTTGAGGGCACAGACAGCTATCCCAAAAATGGCAGGCTATACTACAGTAACTATCCTTAATTTCCTACTAACTTAAACTGAAACCCTGTATTACTTACATTGTCTTACTATGACTGATCTTATTTGAAGCTGGTTTGTTAGACTGCTGTTTTGTCTTGACTGATTTTACTCGAATTTGGTATCCTTGATAGTATCAAGTCTAAGAGTAGAAGTAACTACTCTGAAGATGACAAGATGTAATAAGATATCCATTCCGGTTTGATTACTAACTGCTTTTGAAGTCCTACAATGTCTCCAATGCTGTTTTTATTAAAATTGCTATGAAATGCTATGTTCAATTATTGTCTGACGATGTAGACAATTCTATTAAAAATAACAAGAGAAAGCATAGTTACTACTGTAGATCACCTAATAATGTGGCTTTATGTCTTTTTCATTTCTTGTTTTTCTAGGAATTTTATTGTCTTGTTTTGATCTGTTTTTCCCTCTAATACAGAAAGGATAGATATACATGTAGAGATTCACACTTGGGGAGAATTTCTAAACAGTTTATGGGAACAGAGTATATAATGCACAATGTAATGAACAGATACTAAGAAGAGACACTAAGATACCCAGTGCTAATCCTATAGCATTATGATATAAAATCCAGCAATACTATTACTGTTTAGAGTGATATTAGTCTAGTCTCTTATGTTTAATTTCACCATACATAAAGATATGAACAGGTACTTTAAAGAGAATGAGAGACATTATGGCAGTCATTGTTGACCTCCCCAGTGTCAGTCCTTTAAGATCTAAAAAGCCTTCATCATCCTGTTATGATTAGATTATTTTTATAATGTTCAGTATGTACTCAATGTGTATGAAGATGGGGACTATTTGGAAGAAAACTAGAGACAATATGATAGACAGTGAAGATTTCCAGTGGTCTTACTTTAAAATGCATGTTTCTTAAAATTGTTTCCCAATGACGTTTTGTTTTGTTTAGTCTTACCCTCTTTAAAATAAAATTTAAAAAATAATAGTTCTTTCCTAATATTCTTCCAATGTAATCTTAATATTGGTTATCTTATTTACCCTGTTATAGTGTTCAAAGTATGAAATACTAGAAGGATCACAAAAAGAAAATTTCCCTTCTGTTCTGGGCAGGGGAGTTAGTGCATTTCCTTTTGTAGGCAGAACAGTTTTAGCATGTTAGGTATGATTATGAACTCATCTTTGTATCTGAAGACTAAAATGTGTATTGTGTCAGGGTGTGGATAGTGGCAGTTAAACGTGTCAAGCTGAGTACTAGGTGCCCAACTGAATTTGTCCAACAAATAATGGATGGGGGAATGCCTACCTTAGAAAAGATTCTTGCTAGAATGCCATAAAAAGCAACAAAGAAAGGCTTTCCATGTGTTTTTGTGGAAGAACTCCAGTGTTTACTGTCACAATGGGAGCTATCTCCTGACTAACAGCACTGACTTCAGACCATTCAGTCTTCTGGCACAGAAACTTTGATCTCTGATGCAGACTCAAGGGGGCACAATAGTGGCCTCCAGGACTGGAACTGGATTATTTGGATATCCAGTGCACAGACTGTTTGCACTCTTCCATATCTGAGTGAGGTGCCGACATTGCAAGATACTGTTGTACATGCTTATATAATGGTATATCTCACATTAAAACTGCTTCTCTAGGACACAGTGACCAATAAACTATTACACTTCGTGATACCCTTTATTACACAGGGTGCAGTCTATCTCATGTGTCTCAACCAGAAACACACAGCATTATCACCTGCTGTATAAAGTGTAGTACAATAACCACCAAATTCATGTTATAAGCATGAAATGTAAAATGTTGATGGTAAGAAAACATTTTCTGTTAATCATGATACTGATTTCAACATGAAAACAAAATAGGTGAAATGATGCACTTTATATAATTATGTTGGGATATAAGCAGGTATCTAGTTAGGAAATGAAAAATACAACATTTGGTGATCCACAACTTGTGTGTAAAACACTGAACTTTTAAAAATATATGCTTATATGTTTAAATATGGACAACACATTTACATATTTATCAATAGTTATCTTTTGTATACAGAATATGAGGTGTATACACCAAGAAAATTAAAATTAAAGCTAGCAGGAAATCCCACTTAAACATTATCCCTAAAATTTATTTTTTACTGGCCTATCACTTACTATAGTAAAAACAAAACAAATTCAAACCTGCAAAAATACTAACCCTATTTAGAAGTAACAAATACATTTCATTTCAATATATCTCATTCGAAAATACTATATGCTAGATTCAAAGACCATATTACACATAATTATATAATACTGTTTCTAGTAAAGACTACATATACATAATTCAGCTTTTTAAAGCCGGTTTTCTAAAAATCAGAAACAATAATATATTCTGGGAGATCTCCATCTGGGGCTGTGTTTTCTGAAGCATCCATGAATACAATTCAATTTTAATTTACATGTGTACAGGTCTCCACTATGTGAGGAATCTTCACTAGTTTTTGAAAATAGCCTTACATAATGCTGATACAACTACTGTGGAAATCAGTGTGGTGGTTCCTCAAAAAGGTAGGATCACAGGTTCCATTTGACTCAGCTATCCCACTTCTGGGCATTTTCCCAGAACTGAAAACATCATACCACAGTAATATATGTGCACCCATGTTTACAGCACCACAATTTGTAACAGCCAAACCTTGGAAACAACCCAAGTACCCATCAACTAAGGAATGGATAAAAAAGATGTGCTATTTTTATACAGTGAAGTACTCCTCAGCTATAAAGAAAGATTGCATCGAGGCTTTTATTAGTAGAGGGACACGACTTGAGACCATACTCATAAGTGAAATAAATCAAACTCACATGTGTAAATACCATATTATCTTCCTAGTGTAAGAAACTGAAAAGAGAAAATAAGATCCAAAATCTACAATAAATATTCTATAAGGGTGAATAATTGCTCACTTGGGAATTTAGCTCAGCAGCACAAGTGTTGCCTGGCAAGTGTGAGGTCATGAGTTCAATCCCCAGTAACAAAAAAACAATAAAGAAACTGCTTAAAGAGGAAGAGTAACAGATAGAGGAAACGATGAAAGAAAGAAGGCAAAAAGAAGACTTAAATTTGTATACATACACATAAGGTAGCTATACTACTAATTCTATTAGTTCTTGAAAAATAGTTAATACTCATGGTTAGACCAATTTTACGTGTCTACATCTTGTAATCTAAGCAAGGTAACAATATGCAATATTACAACCATTGTGAAATTTCTATTATCTTTCTTGAAAACCAAGCTGTTATTGTTTTGGGTTTGTTGTTGTCTTTTCCTTTTGTTTTTTTTTGTCTTTTTTCTCTTAAAAAAAATAGCCTTACATAAATTTGATCAACCTCCAGTGACTTCTTTCATGCAGTTGACAAAAAATGTGTTCACTGAATTCTTTCCCCATATTGTTATACACAGGATACCTTCTTAAGGTGAAATCTAGGTATACAAAATGAGGAATTTCTAGCAAATCTTTTTCCCAATGACTCACATGTGCATGGTATCTCGTCTGTGTGATTTCTTTGACAAGACTATGTTTAGTGAATGCCTTCCCACATTACTTTCACACATAAGGTTTCTCCCCAGTGTGAGTTTTTTCATGTCTTTTACAACTACTACTTTCAGTGAATGCCTTCCCACATTGCTTACACACATAAGGTTTTTCCCGAGTGTGAGTTCTTTCATGCCTTTGACAATTACTGTGTCTAACAAATGCTTTTCCACATTTCTTGCACATATAAGGTTTGTTCCCATTGTGAATTCTTTCATGTATTTTAAAATAAGACTTTGTATTGAATGCTTTTCCACACTGCATGCACACATAAGGTTTCACCCCAGTGTGAGTTCTTTTGTGTACTCGACAAGACTGGTGTGTAGTGAATGTCTTCCCACATTCTTTACACTCATAAGGTTTCTCCCCAGTGTGAGTTCTTTCATGCATTTGACAAGACCGGTATGTAGTAAATGCTTTCCCACACTGCTTGCACTCATAAGGTTTCTCCCCAGTGTGAGTTTTTTCGTGTCTCTGACAAGACTGGTACGTAGTGAATTCCTTCCCACATTGCTTGCACACATAAGGTTTCTCTCCAGTGTGATTTCTTTCATGTCGCTGACAAGCGTAATGTGTAGTGAATGCTTTCTCACATTGCTTGCACCCATAAGGTTTCTCCCCTGTGTGAGTTCTTTCATGTCTTTGACAGTGATTTCGTGTAGTGAATGCCTTCCCACATTCTTTACACATAATATGGTTTTCCCCAGTGTGGATTTTTTTATGTCTTTGACACTCACTGTGTCTAGTGAATGCCTTTCCACAGTGGTTGCACACATAAGGCCTCAGTCCTGTGTGAATTCTTTCATGAATTTTTGAATAACTCTTTCTACTGAATGCTTTTCCACAATGCTTGCACAGATAAGGCTTCTCCCCAGTGTGACTTCTTTCATGTACCTGACAAGATTGCTTTGTAGTGAACGTCTTCCCACATTGCTTGCACAGATAACGTTTCTCCTCCACATGAATCCTTTCAAGAATTTTACATATTTGAGTATTGAATGTTTTTGCATATTGCTCACAAACATATGGTGCCTTCCCATTGTGAGTACTTCCATAGATTTGAAAACCACTGTTGGTGCTGGAGGCCTTCACATTTTCCTGTTCAACAACTGTCATCTCTTCAGAGCGAGTTCTTTCACTAAATTCAGAGTAGGATTTCATGCAATGCACATGTTGATAGGGTTTCTCTCCATTCTCTGTCCTTGCATGCTTCTGAAAGGACTGGAAATCACTACAGGGTTTTCCATGTTCACTACATTTACTTGGCTTGTCATTAAATCTCAAATATTCATGTGACTTCACTACAGGATGAGGTAAGATGCACACATTAAATGGTAAGTGTCCAAGAAGGGGCTCTTCACAAACAAGACTTATGGCTTGCTTTAAAGCAGATTGATTCATGTCCACTTTCACTTCTGAAGTCCAAAGATGTGTGTTTGCATGTTGATTGGAAGATTTATATAGATACCATGTTGCTACCTCTTCATTTCTGTAAAGAAGCAAAGTATTAATCACGATAAAAAAATATCTCCATATCAATAATTTAGCAGCACAAGTTCTGCCTTGATGTCTGCTAAGAAACTTTCAGAAAAATTATCTGAAAGTCCTGGTGATGCCTCCAAAACACACACTTCCCAAAGGATGATATTGATTAGAAATTTTAAATTGGTGTAGTTTTGCAATAAATAAGATCAAGTTTCATTTAAGTCTGATTCATATGTGTATAACATATTGATCATTTTTACACTGTACCCAATACTTTCCCCTTCTATCACTTAATTTTACTTTCTAATTTATATTTTAGTCTCACATAACAGAAAACATTTGATAACTCATTTTCTGTCTCAGACTTTTTGCATTTAAAATTGTTAGGTGGAGTCTCCTTTTTTCTCCCAGAAGTTGTATTTTTGTTTCAATCAATTCATATAGCACTATTTTTGATATACATATTTTTAGTGCTGAGAAGTAAAAAAGGGTCAGAAGTAAAATATATATCTAGCTTTTTCACTTCTTATTTTGAGAGAAATTTTCATTAATTACTCATCTGATATCAGGGTGAACTTCCTGCTAGCTCAGCTTACCAGAGTGCTCAGAATATAAGAAGGCAAGACAATGTTGAGACTATGCCACTTCCTCTCTTCCGAAGAACACAGTGACAGGCACCTAGCTTCTTACCAGAGTTTACATATTGTGAGTTATTTCCAGAAATCACCTACTGTGAATACCGATGTAGATCCTGCTTTGAGTATAAGTACATATGTATAATTAAGATCATTCTTTCAAATCCTTCAGAACATGCAAGAGGGAGTTTTGCCTAGATAAAATGCAAACTTTCAGTTTTACTTTTTGACACATGTTGTATACTGAATATAAAAATGGTTGTTATATATTTCTACCAGTAATGCGTTAGGACATTTGTAAGAATTTTAAAACATGAAGGAACAGAATTCTCTGAAGGATGTTTCTAGCATCTATTTTTTTTCCCAGCATCTATTCATACACTAGCATTCATGTGCATTTTGAACGTTGCTTCCAGGTAAGCAATTGTTTACATAATGTGTATCTAAGATATATGACTTCTTGCCACAGTAAAAGTTTATTCTTTTCATATTGCCTATAAATAATACTGAAATGCAGTTTCATATATTTTCATGATGTTGATTGTAAAAATGTTTTTATACCAATGTATGAGATACTGTCTCTTGTTGCATGTCACTAACTTAAGCTTCATGTAATGGAATATTTTTATATCCAACTATCAGATTACACAATATCAGCCTGTATGTGTATCAGTAAAATTTATGACATTAAGTATATTTGAATATGACCTCATTTATAAAGATTTCTTGTAGTAATTCTGATCACAGATGCTCTTGAGAAGTACTGCTTTTCCTTATGAATGACAATTACCTCAGCCTTCTTGAACAACTTCTATATTCCTCTTCCATTTGCTGGCTGTCCCAAGTCCTTCCTGAATTGTAACCAAAGAAATACAGTCACCATGTCATTATATAAAGATTAGTAGGTAGCAGTTAGATTCACTGTATAATATTAACAGGATTGAGATATTGTTCAAAATGTTGTCCTGTTCTATTTAATGAATCTGTACACATGAGCAAGAAGCACAGCTCTCCACTGAGTATATGAGAATATATCATCCTTACCTATAGAATTTATATTCATCAATGTTTCCCTCATCACATCTCTGTAGAGCTTCTTCTGGGATGGATTCAGCACAGCCCACTCCTCCTTGGTGAAGTTCACGATTACATCTTCCCAAGTCACTGCATCCTAAAGAATAACATATATATTTACTGAAGAAGGTTCACCCTCATATCCTGAGAACTCAAACCCCTCTTATAAAAGCTAAATTGAGATTGTTCCTTCAAATAAAAACTCCATGTCTAGGTTGCTACTTTCTGTTATAGCCCCAGCAAAACAGAAGTACTTGTTACCTAGTAGAGTCACAGAAGTTGTATCTATGAACTATTTTAAAGTGAAGCTCATAGAATGAGACTGAAAATCACAATTTCTAAACCAACAAAAAAAATGAGGCAGAGAAGTATCTAACAAAGAGTTGCAACAGACAAAAAATACACCTCTTTTGAAATCTTGTTTCTCATATATATGATTGAGACATTCTTTCTTATATTACATATGAGCAGCATTTTGAAAACTGAATTCGGTTTTTTGGAAAAAATTGAACATTAGATAAAATATATGCATTTAATTCTTTACTCTTGGATTTTCACAACAGACACACCATGTGATATTTACATCTGTATGTCACTTCATTTCACTTGACAGTATCATCTCAAGGTACAAAGTTTTAGCAAATCATTTCTCAAATTATCCTTCTTTATAGCAGAGCAGCATTGCATTCTTTAAAAAAAACGCCTATCTTCTTTATCCATTCAAAAGTTGATGAACATCTGGGCTTTTTTCAAGATTTATCTATTGCAAACTGTGCCTGTATGTACCTGAGTGTGTCTGTATCAGTGTGGTGTGGTGCTTTTAATTCTTTTGTGGAGAGACCAAGAAAGGAAATAGATGGATGAAATGAACCTTCAAGATTTTGTATTTTGAGGTTTCTGACAAAATATTTAAATGAATAGAGAGATAATAGGGTTGGAGGGGAAAAGGGGACAAGAAAAAAGACATAGGATGGGTCTGAATGGAGGTAAGGACCGTGGGGAAAAAAAGGAACAAGCAAGATTTACTATGTACAGGTACAAATTCCCAAAATAAATGTTATTGGTATATATATGAAGAATATGTGTTTGTCCAATGGCAGAACTTCTAGGAAAAGGGAAGCACTAAGGTAGTCAGAGGGCAGCAAGCTGAATGACAGTTGCTCCATGGCACAGATTTTCTCACCCATTGTATCTCAATCTATAGTATGGAAAAGAAAAGCAGGCCAGATGATAATATAGATAGCAAAATTATGTAAAGAAAGGAAGATGAAATTAAAATTTTCCAATTCCTTGGTTTCCTCATTCTTTGTTTGAACCTAATACGTATGGGTCTTTGTCTTAGCCCCCAGAGTCTCAAACTTGGCCTAAAGGGTTTCGATCTTCCTGGAATCCTAAAATCAAATCACTTGTCTCATTTATTTAAGCCTTCACCATACACTCATTTGGGAGATTGGGGATGTAGGTTAGGACCCGATAGAATACAACTTAATGCTTGTAGTGTTCAGTGTTTCACTGACTTTGCAGGCCTAAAGCTGGTAGTCTGATCATCAATTCAGAGGATAACAATGTGCAGTGCAGCAACTGTGAGGGACCTTCTTCTGAAGATGGTAGCCACTGTTAATTCATAGTATCTTGCTTTGAAGTCCTGTATCATTTCCATTGTTTCATTTGGCTGGATTTTGTTTTGTCTTGTTTGATATTGTTATGTTTGATGGTATGGGCAGTTATTTCAAAGATAACAAGATGTATTATGGTAGCCTTTTTGGATTTACTATTATTTGTTTTGAAGTCCTTTATTATGCTGTTTAGTTTTTATTGGTTTTACTCTGCTCTGTTTTGTTTGATTTCTACTATGTCTGAAGGTATAGGCAGCTGTTTTGAGGACATCAAGAGGCATTATAGTGATCATTGTTGATTTCCTATTATCTTGTTTTAAAGTCGTGTCATTTGCACTGTTTTGTTTTAATTGGATTTATTGTTTTGTTTCGCTTGCTTTTATTCTCTTTAAAGTAAAAACTACCAAAAATGACAAAATTCATAGGAAAACAAATCAAATATGAAATTATTTTTCCTGTATTGTCTCCCTCAACATTCTAGGTTAGTATAGGTTCCAGCTGCTCCACTACTGATTTACATGTTCTGTCATGTTTCTAAAACACTTTCTGTACACTAACGCTTAAGCTAAGCATGTACTCAGTTCTGTAATACATCCTAAGCATCCTAGACATTCTCTTACCTTGCAAGAAGTGTAACGGCCCTGGTTCAAACTCTACTGAGAACCAATCACACCATTCAATTGAAATCCTAATTTGAAGCTGTGTTACAGGACATATGATGACATTTTACAAGCATACTACAGACACACTTGGTGTAATCAGGGTAAATTGGAAATAAAAGAATTCATATAGTATATTATTTGGACATAGTCTAGAGATCATGACCCAAGAGTTTCTAAGACACTTTTTTTGTTTTCTTAGAATTTTTAAGTTATAATTTTTATTAGTATATGTATGCAGTGTGTAATGACTTCATTTATGTAGTGACTCAGTACATGTGTACAAAAAAATCTCAATTCTTTTCTTTCTCGTTCTCCTCTAAGCTCTTTTCTGTGGCCAGCATTATATTCATTTATTTAACATACAACTCCTTAGAAAGTTAATAATCATATATGATGAAATAATAGCCAGACTAACAAAAAAATGCACAGAACTTATTAGAAAATCATACTAACTCAGGGTACACTTTTAGGTACACTGTCCACACTGGATTACAGTAAAACTTTGTTTAGTCTATGAGTTTTTCCCTATCAACACTCTAGTAATTTCACTTAGTATACTGAGCTTCTCACATAATAGAAACCAAGAAATAATTAAGATTATGTGTTGGATTTACTTCATATTATATCTCAAGGTACAGCCATTTTCATACAAATGACTCATTTGTTTCTCTTTATGGCATTATAGTAATAAATTGTGTAAAACTTCTACAAATTCTTCATTCATTCATCTATTTTATGATGGACACATAGCATGAAAGATTTAGCCTTTATTAACAGTGCTGCTATAACTTGGGTGTACTTACATACATACATGTGGAATGATACCTAACACTTTTGGGAAGATTCTTATAAGAATATCTCAGTGGAATAAAGTGTAAAGGAATTTATCAGCATCATTTATCAGTCTTCTGAGAAATATTCACACAGATTCCCAAGGAGTTTGTACCAGAATACACTGCTATCAGCAACAAAGAAGTATTTCCTTTTTTCTTCAAGCTCTTCGGTATCTGTTATTGGTTGATTTCTCAATTACAGCGATTTTTTCTCAAATGAAATAAAATCTAAACATTGGTTTCATTTACACTTCACAAATAGCCAGCAAAGTGTACGTTTTTTCATGGATTTATTAGTGATATGCTATTCTACCATCCAAAGAGAATGTATTCAGTTCAAAGTGTCACTTTTTGATAATCTTTATATTGAGGGCATCTCATTTCTGAGTTCTTTGTATATTCAAGATGTTAGTTCTCTCTGAATAGTAGCTGGAAAAATTTATTTCCCATTCTGTATGTTGTCTCTTTACTCTGACAGTGGTTTGTTTTGCTGTGTAGAAACTTTCTTGACTTCATGTGATCCTGTTTGTTCATTCCATTTATGATTCAGAAAGTCATTGCCTATTCTTATGTCTTAAAGTTTTACCTGTTTTGTCCTCCAGAAAAATAAGTTTACAGTCTAATATTTAGGTATTTGTTCCACTTGATTTAGTGTATGTTTAGTGTATGTTTAAAAATTTTTATAATGTTCAGTATGTACTCAATGTGTGTGAAGATGGGGACTATTTGGAAGAAAACTAGAGACAATATGATAGACAGTGAAGATTTCCAATGGACTTATTTTAAAATCCATGTTTCTTAAAATTGTTTCCCAATGGCCTTCTGTGAAAAAAGCAAAAACAACAAATACAAGAACTGCATTAAGAGAAGTGGTGGAAAAAAAAAAGAGAGAGAAGTGGTGAAGCAGCTATCCTTGTCTTGTTCATTTCAGAGGGAAAGCTTTCAGCTTCTCTCCATTTACTGTTATGTTGGCCATTGGTTTGTCACAGAGCAGCTTTATCAAGCAGAGACATAAACTTCCTTAAGCATATTTTCTTTAGAATTTTTATCACAAATGGATTTTGGATTTGTGAAATACTTTTACAGCATCTGTTGAGATGATCATGTGTTTTTTGCCCTTGCTATTTTTATGTGCTGTGATACATTTATTAATTGTGCATTTTTAAACATGCTTGTATACCTAGAGTGAGCCTTAGTGGTCATATTAATTATTTCAATGATTTCCTGCATTCCGTTTGCTAGATGTTCTTAAAGCTTTTGACATTTATGCTCATGAAACAGACTGGCTTTCAGTTCACTTGTTTCAGCTGAGTTCTTTTCTGGAATTCAACTATGGATAATGCTTGCCTCCAGGACTGATTTTGGAAGTAGGTTTTCCCTTTCAATATCATTTGCATATGGAGTACTGTTGCTAATGGCCAATGCTCCCTCACAGCATATTCAAGTCTAAACTATGCCTTTCACAAAATTCTAAACTCCAGTACGTGTTATGGCCTAACCGTGAGCAATAAACAAAAAATTACAGGCTCAATATTAATAATCACACCACTCAGAGTTACCACAATCCTGGCAAATGCAGAACTAAATACAATTAAAATGTACAAGAGTATATATTGTAGACCAAAGCACATATTGTTGTGTTTATCGTGACATCCTCACGATCTTATCAAGGGGTAACACACTGAGTGACTCTATTAACCAAAATCATGATATACTGTAAAGGGCTCAAGATAAAAAAGGTAAATATTTCTACCTTTCGGGAAATTTCAAGTCATCGATCTGCATCCCAGAATCAACAAGAGTCTACTTTTTCAAAAATAAATTATACTGCATACACAACTAATCTCAAATTCACATACACATATCTATAACTGGAATGGCTTTATTACATCCTTCAATAGATACAAATTACAATGTCTTTGATCAGAAAACAGATTGATGATTTTTTGCTTAATCAAGCATAGTGGCCCTGGTACTTAGGAGTGACTATAAAAACATCCACCCCAATATTCTCCAAAATAGAATACACACTAGCCCTAGAACATGTGTAAGTAAATACAAAGGAATTAAAATGATTGCATGCACATTATCTGACCATAGTACAATGAAATTGGAAACCAACAACAAAAGAAACCACAAACTCAGTAAGACATGGAAATTAACACCCTACCAAACAACAAACAGATCGCAGATAAAATAAAAAATGACATTACATAGAGCCCACAACTTAATGATAAAGCCATTACAATATAGCTGAACTTATGGGAAACAAAGAAAGTCCAAAGAGTGAAAAATTATAGCAGTGCACACCCATATCAGGAAGACAGAATGAGCTCAAATAGGCAATCTAACATTGAATCTCAAACTTCTAGAAAAAGAACAGTTCAATCCCAAAGCTCATATTAAGGAAGAACTTATAAAGATCAGAGTAGAAATTAATGTAATTGAGACTAAGAAAATAATACCAGAATCAATTAATTAAAGAGTTGACTTTTAGAAACATTAAATAAAATTGATAAATCCTTAGCCAACCTTATGAAAAAAGAAAAAGCTCAACTTAGGAAAAAAAGGGGTGAAATCAGAACAGATCCTGCAGAAATCCTGAAGATCATATATATCTGACAAGATCACACGCATTCAGGGTGGTATGGCCGTAGACAGAAGATCATATATATCTAACTTTAATTAAATTTAGTGTAATAAAATGGAAAACACAAATGGATAGATTCCTAAATGCATATGAAGTACCAAAGCTGAATCAAAGCATAAATACTATAAATAGTCCAACATCACTTAATTAAATTGAATTTGTAATTAAAAACACCTATAAACAAAGAAAAGCCCAGTTTCTGATAGATATATACATAGAAGAATTCTACAAGAAATTTAGAAAAGATATAAAGTCAGCTCCATCAACTTTTCAATGAAATGGAAAGGGAAGCAATACTACCAAGCTCACTGATAAAAGCAAGTATTACCCTGATTCCAAAACCAGAGAAGCATTCAACCAAAAAAAAGAGAACTATAGGCTTATCTCCCTATTGATCATAGATGCAAAAATCCTCAACAAGATACTAGCAAAGAGAATGTAGGAAATCACCTAGAAGATTATATACCATAGCTGGATGTGGTAGTACATGCTTGTAATACCAGAACTTGGGAGGCTGGGGCAGGAGGGTTGTTGTGAGTTCAAGACCCACCTGAGCTACAAAGTGAGCTCAAGGCCAGCCTGAACTATGTAGTGTGACCCAGTCTCAAAAAGAAAAGATTATACATCATGACCGAATAGGATTCATTGCAGGTATGCAGAGCTGGTTCAGCATCTGCAAATCAATAAATGTAATACAGTCTATCAATAGAATAAAGGACAAAAATCACATGATCATCTCAATAGATGCAGAAAAAACATTTAACAAAGTCCCACACTTATTCATGATAAAAACCCTACAGAAAAGTGGAATAGATGGTCTCTATCTAAATTGAATAAAAGCCATCTAGCAGCCACCAGCAGCCAATATCATTCATAACTGTCAAGCCTCAAAGCTTTCACTCTACAATCAGAAAAAAAACAAATATGTTCACTATCACAACTCCTATTCAGTACAGTTCTGGAAAAATTAATGGGAACAGTTAGAAAACAAAAACAAAAGGAATAAGAATAGGAAAGGAAAAAGTTAAATTATTATTATTTGCAGATGACATTCCACTAAAACACTTGTAGATCTAATTACCAAATTCAGAAGTGTACCTGCATACAAAGTCAACACTCAAAACTCAATAGGATTCCTGTACACAAATAACCAATTCTCTGAGGGAGAAATTAAGAGAAATCAACCTTTCACAATAGCAACTAAAAAAATGATGCATTTAGCAATCAAAGGAGGAAAAGAAGTATGTATACATTGAAAATTACAGTTCTATGAAAAACGAGATCGAAAAAGACATTCTGGTAGTTACTGTTAATTATAGGTTGTCTTCTGGTGAAATATTGTGTTGCTTACATTGTTCTGTTCTGATCTGCTTTGTTATGTCCTGTTTTTGTCTTAATCTCTTTAAAATTAAACAAAAAGAGAAAAAGGAGATCAAAGAAGATGCCAGCTAATGGAAAGATATCCCTTGCTCATGAATATGAAAAATCTACCTAATGAAAATGGCCATACTCCCAAAGCTGTTATACTGATTTAATGCAACCTCAATCTAAATAACATTTGCATACATCACAGAGCTAGAGAAAGCATTAATAAAAGTTTATTTAGTACCAGACGAGACCTAAAAGGGCACAAGCAAATCTGGAGAAAAAAAGGAAATTCAGGGGCATCACAATCCCTGACATGAAATTATACTATAAATCTACTATGATAAAAATCTAAACTGAACTGGAAAAAAACCAGACCTGAGTATCACTGTAACAGAATAAAAGATGCAGACACAATTACAAACACACTCAGCCACCATATCTTAGACAAAGGGGCCAAACATTTTCACTGGCAGAAAGACAGCCTCTTTAATAAATGGTTCTGGAAAAACTGGCTTCCCATGTGTCAAAGACTTAAACTAGACCCATATCTATCACCTTGCATTAATCTAAAGTCAAAATGAATCAAAGAAAATACTAGATCTACTAGAAGAGAAAGTAGATAGAAATCTTGATTATACAGGTTTAGGTAGAAGCTTTATGAACAAACCAAGACTGCATGGGATATACTACACAGGATCAACAAATAGCATCTCAAGTTATTAAAAAGCTATTCCATAACAAAAGAAATCACCAGCAAAATGAAAAAAACAACCCACAGGATAGGAAAAATTTAGCCAGTTGTGTTGTATACAAAGGATTTATATGTAGAACATATAAAGAATCAAAAATATCAGGCCCCGAAATCAAAGACTCAACCCAAAAATGGGCATCTGGATGAGTATGCTCTTCCCAGATGCAAAAATATTAACTGCCAAATAAATGTATGAAAAAATATTCAACATCACTATTGATGTAGTATACAGTCACATTTTAGACATACAAATTACAACAATGCTGAGATTTCATCACACTCCAGAAAGAATGGCTTTCCTCAAGAAATCAGTCCATAACAAGTGCCAGCAGAGCTCTGGGTTCAAAAAAAGAGACCCTTCTCCACTGTTGGTGCGAGTCCCACTGAGCAACCATTATGGAAGTCAGTATGCAGATTCCTGAAAAACTAGGATTAGAGGTCCTGTTCAACTAAGTTATTCTCCTACTGGGAATGTTCCTGGTAGAATTAAACATGCATTCATGTTTATAGCAGCAAAACTTGTAATATCTAAATCTTGGAAAAACCCAAATGCCCATCAATGTATATAAAAGATGTGATCATTTTGTACAATGGTAACTACTCAAACCTAAAGAAGGATAAACTTGAGACTTTTATATATAAATGGGTACAACTGGAGACCATACCCAAAAGTGAAGTAAAACATACTCATATATGTAAAAATCATATTATCTCCTTCGTGTGAGAAACTGAAAGCATAAATAAGATCTACGACATATAATACATATTGTGAAATGGAAAAAAATATTTAAAAGAGAAAAGGAACTAGGGTATGTAAAACGGGAAAAAAAGGGAAAAAGAAAAAAAGTACAAGATAATTATACTAATTGTTTCTTGTTTATTGAAAAAGAAGTTTTGTGTTAAAACTATGAAGTCCACATAACCCAATAATGTACTAAAAATAAAAACGTCACTCAAGGGGCTGGGGATTTAGCTCAGTGGCATAAGCGCCTGCCTTGCAAGCAGGCAGTCATTGAGTTCGATCCCTGGTACCAATAAAAAGGAGAAAGACAAAAAAAAAAAAGTCACTCAACTCAAATACCACACATGCAACAGATCCACAAATACTGTCGCATTCTCAGTGCTCACCATGATGATATGGGATCCAGCTGGCGCTCAGCTGCCCATGCCAGTGCTTTGGAGATGCTTCTGTCACCTCATTTGTACAATACAGGATGCTGAGGACCTGGCACATTCTTAATCTCACCCTCGGGCCCAAAAAAGAACGAGGGCCTAAAAGCCGCAGTCAATCTATAGGAATAAGGCTTCAGACTTGATGCAATTTGGTCTAATTCCTTGGAAGCTGGTTCTGTCTATATCCAACTGACCTATGCCTCTGCCACAGCTCCACTCCTCTCTGGGGTCATTTGTCTCTGCATGTCACCATTTCCAAGAATGGGGGTTTCCCAAAGCCCTGCCCATATCCCTGCAGTCAGTGAATCTCACAGAGTAGTCAATGTGAGCCAGCCAGGCTGCCTTTCAGTAGCACCCTGGGAGCTTCTGATGAGTTCCTGACAAAGAGTCTTTATTGTGGACAGTGTACCTGACTGGACAGTTTACACAGAACCAGCCTTCCTTCCCTGATGCACTGTTGCTCCATTTCCTGCCCTCTCAGCTGAAAAGGACATCAAAAAATGCACATTACTTCACCGAGAGGAGCCAAATGACAGCCTTTAAGCAAAACCCTTCCCAACACAGGCTTCCTGCCTAAATACAGATTTCACCCAGAATTTCACCCAGAATGAAGTGTAGCATCACACGAAGCAGAACTGGCACAGACATGTCCAGAGCTGCTGCTGTTTTCTTTCTGAACTCAAAAGGCTCTTCTGAATTCAATAACGTTGTCTCTACACATCAGTCCACAAGCATAATTCAGACTCTATATCACATGCAGAAAACCCCAGTACACAGAAAAGAACTGCACCGCACACAAGGGTATGACAGAATGGAATAGAAGGAAAATGTTAAAGTTGTCAGAGGGTACAAATATAAATGAGGCACTTGGCTCCCTGTGCAGCAATTTCCACACCTTTTTGCTTAATTTACTTATTTCAGCAAAGAATACAAAAACATGCTAAAAAGAAAATACCTAATAAATGAAGAAAATGGCATTACTACACTAACAGCATTATCAAAAATGAATCAAAGTACAAGAAAAGGAAATATTTCTACTCTCTCAGACAGGAAACCTACTTCACATAAGAGCACAAAAAGCCCTGAATTCTGAATACTGATCACATTCCTCACCAGAAGGTCCATAATAATTGTTGAAAAAAGGAGGCAGCATCACCTACAGTAAACTCTCTGTAGAAGAACTTCCTGACCTCAGTTTGAAAGCCTCCCTTCTTCTACCCAGTAGTTTCACAAAAGCTAAGTCCTGTCTTCGAGTCCTGTGACAGGTCATCCTGATAATCAGCCTGATTGCCTTGACAGATGACAAGAATATCAATAAAGCAAAACCATCTGCACACAAAATTCCTTCTTCCCATCATGCTGCAGTGTGTTATAGACAGCAGTCCTTCTAGAGCTGTTCTGCGCACACAGAGGGTACAACAAGGATGATGTGTCACCCACGAAGCAACAGGAAGTAGTATATTGCCATACCACTGGTTTCCAACATTGTCCTCTTATTGTCCAACTTAAGTCACTGGCCTTAAGTTCTACTTGCTAAGTACATGATATTCACCTATACCAAGCCAATATTCATAAGCTGAATAAGACACAGACTCTCACTGCGTACCTTTAAGGAAGAAGTGACATTGTTTTGTTTCTGAGTTCACACATGAAGGAGAACATATTGAGATGTTCCTTACTAGAAAACAGAACTGGGGATGGCAGCACAGTACTACAGTGCTTGCTGAGTGTACACAAAGTCCTGGATTCAACTCTCATACTGCAATTTAAAAAAAAAAAAAAAAGGCTAGAGAACTTAATTTTCATATGACAAAATGTACAGATCACATAATCAGGAATAAATTATCCATTTTTTCCTATGCACTGCTGATTCCCTCACCATTCTAGTTGAATCTGTCACAAGATGCTATGCCTAGGAATTTCCATGTTTTGTTTACTTTTTAAAAATCTGTATCTTGACACTCTCACGTAAGTCTAACCCAGTTAGTCATGTCGCTCAAAAATACTTAGCATTTTAGAATTTCATCTACTTCTCAAAAAATGTACTCATCTACTTCTCATCTACTCATCTACTTCTCAAAAACTGTGCTAATGTTATACGCTCGTGAGGTGTATAACTTCTTTTAAGTTAAATTACTCAAGTGAAGCTGTGTTACAGGGCACATGACAATGGTTTAGGTTCCTACAAGTGACTTTATTGTGACTTTTCTTTATGGCCTGTCAAGCAAGAGAAACTAGAAAAACATACATGTAATATTAAATTACTGGATCATAGTCAAGAGACTGTAACCCACAAACTTCTAAGGTCCTTGAGCTCTCTCAAGTGAAAATTCTGTTTTGTGGGCTGGGGATTTAGCTCAGTGGCATAAGTACCTGCCTTGCAAGTGTGTGGTCATGAGTTCGATCCCCAGAACGGATTAAAAAAAAAAAAAAAGTAACTTAAATTCTGTTTTGTATCCTAATAATATGCTCAGCGTATGGGTAAATCTGGTAGCTTCTGGATAGCTTACAATTGACATGCACAAAGACCAAAAAAACATTTAAAAGGTGAAATTGTAAATGCAATTTTGTTTAGTTATCCAGTGGGTTGAAATATTAAGTCATTCCACTTGATCTGTGAAAAAGAAAAAGAGACTTGACAATGAGTTAACCAAAGACAAGGAGTTAAATAAATTTGTATGAAACCAATTTTCTCCAAAAAATACTTAAATGTTTTAACCAAAATTTTAGGATTGCTTAATCCTGATTTCTATATTTTGAGATCTTCAGACAGAATATTTGACTAGCATAATATCTAAGACTACTAATGGAACTGCACAATCACACCAGGAATACCTAAATTTAGATCCTGTCAGAATACAATGGAATTAATAGAGACATAGTTTTTACCTCCAGAGCTGAAGAGCTTATTTGTAGGCATATAAAAAAACTACAGTACACATTTGCTGTAAGTGTGAATATAATCACTGCTATTCATTTCTCTTTGCGTGAGAGAATTTACACTGTCTATGCTTCATCTCACATTATTCCCAAAGCTGGCAACTCACCAGAGTTCACACGAAGCACACTATATTCAATAAATTTCTGGGTCTCCCCCAAAACCTCTGTTCCACAGTGTGTTGTTGAAGCAGCTATGACAAATAGACTGATGGCCAAGGGCTAATACTTGACCTCATTGCTGCAGAAACCTGTTAAATTTTTCACAGTATGTATGTAAACTAATGGAAACTTTCGTTCTTTTCCTTTTTTTGGGGGGGGGGGTACCAGAGTCAAACTCATGACCTTGCACTTGCCAGTCAGGCATTTATGTGGTTGAGCTAAATCCCCTGCCAAAAACTTTATCATGCACCAATGACACTTGTAGGTATAGAGTCAGTCAAGTTCATAGATTACCTGAAGATTATTTAGATATTCAGAATAGCACAATATCCAAGACAATAAATTATCTCTGAAAATGTTAACACAGTATAATATATACAAATTCCATCTGAATATATTAAAAATATTTAGTCTTCATATTGGAATTTCTTGTCTTTTAAGCTCTGGAAGTTATTCACTGCATCTTTTATTTCTCAGAACTCCCTAAGACAGCCCATGAAGACATGGCTCTGCACACACCACTCTTGGTGAGCGCACCGTAATTCAGTCTTTCTGACCAACAAAAAGTAATGGGCACAGACTGCCAATAAGGACGTAGGATAAATTAAAGACCCACAGTGTCCCAGTAGAGTGGACAGCACACTACAGAAATCTAGTCCTCTACTTGAGACACAAGCGTGTCTTTTGTCTCATTTTAGCTGTGTGAAATGAGAATGTTTACTATATTTCTCTATCAGGTGATTCACCAAGCACTACTAACTCAAATACAAGTGGAGTTCATGAGGTCATCATGAAAATAAAAGTATCTAGGGCCAGGGATTTAGCTCAATGGCTCAAGCTCTTGTCTGGCAAGCATAGGTCATGAGTTCAATTTCTGGTACCAAAAAGAAACAAAAAGTATCAAGTACACAATACTTCCTGCACATAAGAACTGCATTCTTTCTAAGTATAGGACAATAGATTATTGATACAGCCTTCAAATTTAAACTGCTTGCAGAAAGAATAATTCCAGTGTTGGCAGATGATAATAAAGTTTAAAACAAAAACAAGAGCTCCCGTAATCAGCATAAATTAAAACTAGAAATGGAAATGTTTTCCCTTCAAACTTGCTTGGAGTCTAGTGTTCTAACCACTCAGCCTAATAACTTGTCATTGAAAATTTCCATCCTATCCCCTTGTCCTGGTGATGTAAAACTCAAAGAATGTGACCAAAGTGGGGCAGCTCTTTACAATAATAGTTTAAAAATGAAAAAAAGCAAAGAAAAAATGTGTATTTCCCCTTTTTCAAACAATTATACTGTTCTCCTAATTTGGTTGCTCAGGATAAATGATTAATAAGCATTCAAAACAGGAAACAACTTGATGAGTGTCATGTTCAACAGAGGATGATATGAAGAGTTGAAGGAATGCCTCCACAGATGCTATTTGAGTTTGAAATGGAAACTATATTCATCAACCAAAAGGGACTGAAAATAAAATGTACTGAAAAGGTATAGAAAATAAACAAATCTCATTGCTAAGCCTTGGATCCTTTAAACTAACCAAGTCATATGTCTTAATGTTCATTTGGGGACATTTGGTAACAGGAAGTGAAATTGATAACAAAATATTAAATATCTCATGTTATTCAATAGAGTACACTGAAAATAACTGACTGCTCACACTTGGTGTCTGCTTTCTGACTCATTGCTGCTATCCACCTCCTTGAGGAAGTGATTCACCATGTACCACTAGTGTGAAAAATAAGTAAACAGCAAAATTAAAAGTAAGATTTGCACTAAATAATGTTTATTTTCTCTTCATTATTAGACATTTAACTCAGGGAATCATGCACATTTGACAAGCTACTTTAGAGTTGTGCACACCCCCCAAAATCTCATATTGAAAAGGGTCATGCTCAGTTATCCAGGCTGGCCTTAGTGAATGAACACTCTTGTCTACAAGTTTCCCAAATGTCTGGCATTAAAGGTGTGCATCACAATGCCTAGGGAAGTTTACTTTACTCAAGCATTGAAATCTAGCTAAATCATGCTGAATGAAGAACCCCAATCTTAAACTAGCAAGGTGAGATATGTCTATGTTCCCACAGTCAAGTAGGAGGAAACTATTAAAATTTCTTCCAAACCTGGACAACTTAATAAGATCTGAACAAAAAGTTAAAACAGAAAAAGAAGAATAAACTCAGGCTAAAATTTCTCAGTTCACTCTCTGTACAATGAAAAAGCTCAAATTCTCCTTGAAATCTTTTGTAGCCAAGACAAACCCCTTCCCATACTACATTAATGATGATGTCTACACTATTTTTAAAACTAAAAGACCAGTTTCCTAATTTCTAATTTTGCCTCAAAAATGATTAGTTGAACTCATCATTTAAGAAGAAGAAATATTTACATGTTACTAAGTTTTCCTATTTTCCTTAGACATGTGACCTTTGACCTAACCTCTGAACAAGCCAGCAGAGAATCCTTCATTCACTATCATTGCAAGATGATCTGTCTTCTGAGAAATTTACTGTTGTAGCTGATGATTTTTGCCATCTTCCCAAATCCCCTGCTCTCCCTTTTCTGTTTCATACCCATTTGTCTTGCCTTTTCAAAAAACTCTCTTATTCCATTTACCTCTCTTTCAGTACTGTTTTTTGTTTGTTGGTTGGGTTTTTTTTTCTTTTTTGTCCTGGCAACTGAACTCAGCACTCTGTGCTTGCCATGTGGGCACTTGTGCCACTGAGCTATATCTCCAGCCCTTTCTTTCTTCTTCCTTTTGTCTTTTTGGGACAAAGTTTCACTAGGCAGTTCAGGATAGCCTTGAACTCACTTTGTAGCCAGATTGGTCTCCAACTCTGAAAGATCTTCCTGTCTCAGGCTTCCAAGCACTGAGAATATTGGCATGAACTACACCTGGCAAACAACTTCTTTTATATAAACATCTCATTTGATATTTCAACTTTTAAAACAATGTCTAGAAACAGTCCATAGACTATAAAGCAATTATTTCAGAGACAACTCCACTTTCCCTTTCCAATCATACCAATACCACATGTGTACATTCCTGTAGATGCCCCAGTTCAAAGCAATTCTCAGTGGGGGTTTAACAGACAGCTCGTCCAGAAGGTTCTCTTTAGCAGGAACACTTCCCTACCGTTGGAAATATATTACCATCCATCTTTCTCTGCATTCTAAACTCTATGGAAAGCCTCATTTAAATAGTGTAAAGAATTGTGTTTTATTAGCTTATAAATAAGGCATCTAGCAAGGAAAGAGCCAGAGATACAATTGAGATATTAGTAATTCAGCTAAGAGTAAAAATGAGAACAGAATGTTGAACCCAGAGTGAACTTTTACCAAGGAATGGAGACCCTTCCTACTAAAAGGAGTTGCAGCCATGCCTTACTAAGCTCCTGAGTTTCCAGGAACTTAAAATGCAATATAACCCGTGTTTCTCTAAAACCTGTTTCTTTTAACAGTGTCTGCTGAGGAAATGTGTTACACTGCCCTAGTTTAAAGCATTTGTTTTAAATCCAGAGAGGCATGAGTGACACGTCCCCACTAAACAACTGAAAATTTATTTATAATGCTATTCTTAGCTATAGGTACCTCTAGATAACATGGCTACAGGACCATTCGCTCAAGAAAATTTCGAAAGTCAAGGAGCTATCCTACTTTTTTCCAGTAAAAGTTCTCCTAACATCTTTTTTTTTGTTCACGTCATCGTTCCAGAACGTTGTTAGACGAGATTTGTTCGTGCAGTTATCACAATTGCAAATACAGATCTCATGTAAAACATTACAGTGATGAATTTTTCATTGTTAAGTGTGAAACTCCTTATTTTCCCAAAGCTGCGGCTCTCTGCAGAGGGGTGAAGACACAGCGGTGTCCAGGACAGACCCAAGAAGGTGTTCCGGTTTGGCCGCGCGTGGCAGTGCACGCCTGTAATCACAGCAGTTGGGAGGCTGAGGCAGGAAGAGTGCTGCGAGTTCAAGGCCAGTTTGGGTTACATAACGAGTTCAGAACCAGCCTGAACTACGTAGCATGCCTCTGTCTCAAAAAACTGATAAATAAAAAGCACTGTCACACTAAACTGCCTGTACACTGGAGACTCAGAACTCTCCCTGCCTGAGAAGAGAACACGTTACACAAGAACACGCAGCCCCAAAGACGAGGAAGACCCCGTGTCGGACGGAGTTCAGCAGGGAGGCTGCAGGCTGTCACGGCTCTTTCTGACACTTCCATCCGGAACGCACCCCATTCCACCCCACCTCCAGCGCCCGTCCCACAGCATCACCATTGCGTGGCTTGAGGGTCTCTCGGGATCCTCCGTGTGCACGTGGCAGCCAGGACAAATTACAGAAGGCAGTTTAGAAAGACAAAAATAAACTAAAATAGAAAGTGCGGTCTAGACAACTGGGGTCTCTCAGCAGAGATTACTGCAGCGCCATGACACAGGAAGTGCCCGCCCCCTCGACCCAGGAGAGCCCGCCTTCACCGCTGATTGGTTCCTGCTTAATTGCCTATCAACGGGGTTGAGTGTGAGTGGAGAAAGAAACCTCTAAGAGCAGGGCTGGAATCCAGCGATATTTTGTAACCCAGGAAACTCCGGATTAGTGGCTTTCCTTAGATGCCTATATCACCTCGCCTAAGAATGCTTGCATTTAAGGTCTTTGCTCCTGGCTTTTCAGAGCCGCCCTAGTTTTTTGTAACGGACTCAGTGGACTCTTCCGGAAAATGGGTCACAAATGTTCCCAAAAGGTTCTAGGGTCAATGTCCTATGGAAGAATGGAAAATATCAGGAGGCCAGGCCAGGATAAAATGGAACAGAGGGAGGCCCTGCTGTTAAGAATGAGGCAGTCAATTTCATTGGCAAGATTTTCACACTGTCTCTCAACCTACTCATTTTCATCCATGAAAATGAATATATCACCCTTATGAGCAATGCAGTTATTACATTAATAAAGAAACTAGAGTTGCATGATAGCATTACTCTACAAAAGAGTAAAAATGAAAAAGAGAAGCAAGTATTCCAACTCCCTCAGACAACATTCACAATTATCCATGCTCATAAAAAATACTTCAGTTCTGAAGATGAACCTATTTCCCGGCATGAAGGCAAGAAAGATTGCTGAAATAGCTGCACATTTGATCTACCTGATCACTTCCTGTTGATGACACTGGGATACAAAATTGACTTTTAACTGTAAGCTGCCCATGCCCTGTCGTGAGTTGTGAGGTTGAAATTCTCTGCATTCTAACATTAATATTCATAGAAAAAAATACATGGAGTCAGGCGACACACTTGTGTTTCTAGCTTGCCTGGCTTGAGAGATATATGGGATATTAGTAAAGCATATTTCTTGGTGTATCTGAGGTACAATAGTGATATAGCAGAAAGAAAGGCTACTAGATGTCCAGTACAAGTTCATGTTCTCTAAAATTTTAAGAATGAATTTTAGGAATGATGGAGGTTAAGAACAGAATATGTTTATTGAGCAACAGAAAGCTTCTGTGTGGGAGAGACAGAAGGGGCCCCAAGTGGGTTGTCAAGGACTCTCTTTTGTAAGAACTTTAACAGAGCAAAATTTCAAAGTGAGGCAGGTCTAAGGTGGGGAACTATGAGAAATCACAAGGTAGGCAATGAGGTGGGGCAGAACTATGGTCAACTAATAAGTTTAATTGCTCAAGTAAAATTGATTAAATAGGGGTCAAATGAGGAAACAAGTCATGTAGCAAGTGGGCATGCATATAGAACAGTGACCCTTCCTGCATGGGATTGGGTTAGTGACTTCTGGTGTTGTAGTCAGGGGTTGTGAGGAGAAGTCTCGCTCATAATAAAGACCAGGGCTGTCCTGGAAAGCACTACAGCCATCCTCAGCGACATGGAGGTCCCAAGCTCCTCTGACCATAAGCACAGTCAAGTGCGTGCCAAGAAGTCAGCATGACGAGTTGGTCTTGGAGATTAAGCGGCACACATCTTCCCCTCAGGAGTAAAGAGGCAATGCTCGATGTAAGGACCAGAGCTCCTCCAGGAGAATCAACAGCTCAAACAACAACACTTAGTGAAACCCACAATGCCTCAATGCTTCAACTCTCCACATCTCAATTTATGCTGGCAACTTTCTTTAGGTGGACCATCTACGCTCAGCACCATGCTGATTTAAATCAGCTGGCGTTAAATTGACCACCAGTTTTAATCCATAACACCTGGCTTCCTCAGGTTGCTAGAGACTTATGTCTGATGTTTATCTTTAGGATGTACGTGCATTTCTTTATCTTTTGTTTAGAGATCTGGCCCACAATGAGAGGTGTCTGTGCCTGCCAGTTGCAAGGTTTGTGGTATTTCTGCACTGGCTCTTTCAAGGGACCAAATCTGTCTGACTGTTTATAATACTTCTATCTTATTAAGTTGTCTGTAACAATAGTGTGACTTAAGAGACCAAAGCTGGTCATATGATTTAGAAATATGTTCATGTGATTTAGAAATATTATACATGCAGTGAGACAGGAATAACTATGGACAAAGCTCTTCTGAGGTCTCAGCTTCTCATGGTTCAAGTAGAGAAATTCTATTATACCTAGCATGACATTGCAGTAAATTTGATAAGGTAAGCCAAGTATGCATCAAAATTTACTCGTGTTCAAATACCATGCCTAGAAGTGAAAGAAGATCTCTGGATGTGATTATACATAAATGAGACCTGAAACATGTATGTTTATGATTTGGGTAAAATGATAACATATAGAATCAATTTACCAATAGAAGAGACAGCATGTATATTTAGGGGGTACGTGTAGATGGAGGTGTCAGGATGTTACATCATGTGAATCTGGTAAAGATTTTTAGAACATTTTCCCAGAAATGATTGTCACATGTAACTTCACATCATTGTGGATATTCTTCATGGGTCTTTCTGAGTTACCACCTAAAAGTGTAACTGGTAGTAATAATTAGACCATCATTAATTTGCAGAATACTGTGCAGTAAGATACCTAGTGTTTAAAGCCATGCATTGGTATTAAGCATATGTTCAGTGCCAGATGTCTGTATGTGGTGAATTATTTCAGCTTATATAGATTGTACAGGGACAAATTCAGGGTGATGTACATAGAATTGAAGCAGTCAAACTAAAATATGTGTACAAGAAAGAAATCAATTTAGCCTATGAATACAGAAAAACCCAATTGTATAGTTTTCTGAGGGGAGAATTCATGTATTTGAAAGTTTATTGATAACAGATACCGAACATGAATTGTATTAAGTTTTTGTTGTTGTTGCTCTTGTCACAGGGAAAAATTCCTGACATAAAAAGCAAATAAAAAGGCCAGGAATAGAACTCAGCAGCTCAGCACCTGAGTGGCAAGCATGAAGCCCTCAGATTGATTCACAGTACCAAAATAAATAAATAAAGAAAACAATTTATTTTGTCTCATCATTTCTGCGACTACAGTCTTGATTTCACTGCTTCAAATGCAGAAATATCATAGTAAATATAAATACAGGACAAAGACACTGACTTCAGAAAGAAGGGAATCAGGCTGAAAGGCAGGAGGCAGGGTCCAGATCTGGTCCCTCGGGTGACACTGTCATGCCTCAGCCAGACACACCAACAAGTATGAGGTACTAAGGTCTCTTACATCTCTCCTGCGAAACAAGCTAGAAACACAAATTTATCGCCTGATTCCATGTATTTTTCTTCGAGGAATATTAATGTTAAAAGATGGGGAATTTCAGTTTGTGATGAGTCACAACAGGGCATAGGAGCTTACAGTTAAAAGTCCTTTTGTATCCCAGTGATCAGGTGGATCAAATGGGCTATTTCCGCAATCTTGCTGACCTTCATGTTGGGAAGTAGGTTTATCTTCAGAATTGAATTATTTTTTTATGAGCATGGATAACTGTGAATGTTGTCTGTGGGAGCTGGAATGCTTGTTTCTCTCTCTTTTTTTTTTTTTTTTTTTTTTTTTTTTGGTCTTTTTAATTTTTATCGGTACCGGGGATCGAACTCATGACTGCCTGCTTGCAAGGCAGGCGCTTAAGCCGCTGAGCTAAATCCCCAGCCCTTGCTTCTCTTTCATTTTTACTTTTTTGCAGAGTATTGCTCTCATGCCACTCTAATTGAGAGAGGGTGTGGAAGTCTTGGCAATGAAATTGACTGCCTCATTCCTAACAGCAGGGTCTCCCTCTGTTCCATTTTATCCTGTCCTGGCCTGGGCTCCCGGTATTTTAAGTCATCAGGGGAGGCATTCTTCCATAGGACATTGACCCTGAAACCTTCTGAGAACATTTGTGACCCATTTTCACGAAGATTCCACTGAGTCCATTAAAGAAACTAAGGCAGTTCTGAAAAACCAGGAGCAAAGCCCTTAAATACAAGCATTCCTCAGGCGAGGTGAGAGAATCACCTAAAGAAAACAGCCAGTCTAGATTTTCCAGGGTTGCAAGCTATTAGTGGAGCGCAGCCCTGGTTTTGCAGGTTTATTTCTGCCTTTACTCTCAGCCCAGCTGAGCGGTGAAACAGGAGCGAATCAGCGTCGAAGGCGGGCTGTCTGAACTACCCAATCAGGTGGGCTGAGGATGTGGACACTTCCTGTGCCATGGAGCCGCAGTCATCGCTGTGAAGCCCTTTGCTGAGAGACCTCGGTTGATTAGACTGCGTTTCTTTCTTTCTTTCTTTTTTTTTTTTTTTTTTTTCCTACTTAAACCGCCTTGTTGTGTGATTTGTACTGACGGCGAGGTGCATTCGTAGATCTGGGGACACCCTGAAGGGCGCAATGGTGACGTTGTGGGACGGAGGTGGGGGTGGGATGGAATGGGCTGCTTTTGCAATGGAAGTGGTGAGAAACAGCTCTGGAGATCCACAGCGTCCCTGCCGAGCTCCGGTCACTGGGGCTTTCCATTCTCTGGTGATGCATCTTCATCTGTAACGTGTTCTCCTCTGCTCAGGCGCGGAGAGTTCTGGGTCTCAGTGTGCTGTGACATTGCTATTCTTACTTATTTTGCTTTTCTGAGACAAGGTCTTACTGTGTAGTTTAGAGTGACCCTAAACTCCCTATGTAATCTAGTCTGGCCTTGAACTTGCAACAATCCTCCTGCCTCAGCCTCGCGACAGCTGTGATTAGAGTAATGTGGCACCACAACCCTTCAACCCAGGATACCCTCTTCGTCGTTCCCTGGGTACAGCTCGATCTCCATCGGTCCGCTGAACAGGAGCTTGAAAAAACGAAGGGGTTTCATGCTCAGCAGTGAAAAAAATCATCACTGTAATTTTTTATTTTTTTACATGCAGTTGCACGAACCGAGCTCATTCTTTTTTTTTTTTTTTTTTTTGTCTTTTTCCTTTATATCGGTAACAGGGATCGAACTCACGAGTGCCTGCTTGCAAGGCAGGCGCTTATGCCGCTGAGCTAAATCCCCAGCCCCCAGAGCTCATTCTTTAACATCTTGGAATGATTTCCCGAACCAAAAAAAATGTGTGAGGTTTTTAGGTGCAGTTGAGAGACAAAGATAAGAAAAAGCCTTCATTGCCGGCGCGGGAGGGCTGCAGGAGATGGCAAGGACCCTCCGACAGGGGAAGCTGGGAGTCTGCTTTTAGGGAGTTGGGCTCGGGGTGGTGACTGGATCTTGGTGTCGGGAGAAGATTGGAGGATCTTTGCCTCGCGCGCAAAAAAAGAGCAGGAAGGCGGCTGGGGATTTAGGTCAGCGGCAATAAGCGCCTGCCTTGCAGGCAGGCAGTCATGAGTTCGATCCCCGGTACTGATAAAAAGGAAAAAAAAAAAGAAAGAGCAGGAAATTTGGGGATGACAAGGGAACAGGAGCTTTGCCTGAACATGAGGTTGGAGGCCTCCTGTTGAATCACCGCGGGGGTGATCCAGGCAGAGGCTCATCCGGGCGGAACCCATGACAGGATATTAGGAGAGATTTTATTGGAAATAAGAAGTAGGATTTTTGGAAGTGTCCCGAGTGAATGGTCCTGTAGCATGATACCAGAGTTTATTATAAATAAATGGAGCATAATAAATAGTTACTTAGTGGGGAGCTAATACACATCCCTTTCTGGATTTAAAACAACTGCTCTAAACTTAGGCAGTGTAACATTTCCTCAGCTGACACTTAAAAGAAACAGAACTTAAAGGAACACTGGATATTTTACATTTAAATTCCCAGAAACTCAGGAATTAATAAGGCATGGGTGCAACTCCTTTTAGTAGAGAAGGTCTGCATTCCTTGTTAGGCTGAAAGTTCGGCCTTGGTCCAACATTCTATTCTCATTTTAAGTCTTACTAAAATGGCTAATGTCACAATTATATCTCAGGTCCTTCACTTGTCTTATTTATATGCTAAAAAAAAATTACCGAAGTAGGGATAAACTCTCATAGTTAAGTCACGTGGCAGTTGAATAAATAGAGTAAAAGGATTTTTTGAATAGGCAAGAGCACATGGGTGTGAAGCGGAAATGGGAGAGGGAGCATTTGGAAAGGTGCAGAAATTGGCAGCCACAAAGTTAAATTTCTCCAGAAGTCAGATTGTTCTCAGTGTAATGATAAATGCAGAATTCTTTGCTGGCTTGTTCTGAGATTAGATAAAAAAGGTCACAGGTCTAAAGAAAGAAGATCTTGGTAACATAAATATTTCTTCTGGGATTACTTGTCAGCTTACCTAATGATTTTGAGGCAAAATTAGCAACTAGGAAACTAGTCTTATAGGTTTAAAAATGGGGCAGACATTATCACTGATGTAGAATGGGAAGGGGTTTCTCTTGGCTACAAAAGGTTTCAAGGTGTGTTGAGCTTTTTATTGTACAAAGAGTGAACTCAGGAATTTTACCCTAAGCTAGATTTCCTTTTTCTTCCTTTCTTTCATTCATTTTTTTAAACTTTTTGAGTCAAGATTCTATTAAGTTATCCAGGCTTTGGAGAAATTTTGATAGCTTATACCTCATTGACTATTGGGAACAAACATGTGTCACCTTGCGAATTTAAGATTGTGGTTCTTCAGTCAGCATGATATAGCAAGATCTTGGTGCTTGGGGCAAGTAAACATCTCTAGGCATCGGTGCACACCTTAAATGCCAGCCACTTGGGAAACTTAAGAGTGTAAATCAACCAAGGCTAGTCTGGATACCTGAGCAAGACCCTTTTCCAGTATGAAATGTGGGGTTTACCTCAAGACTAAAGTAACTTGTTTAATGTGCATGAAACCCTGATTGAAGTCTCCAGTAATGAAGGGAAAATGAAAAATATTTAGTGCCAATCTTATTTTTAATTTTGCTGGGTACTCATTGTTCACACTAGTGGTACAGGGTACAATACTTCCTCATGGCGGTGGGTAGCAGTAATGAGTGCTTGCTCAATCAGAAACAGGACACCAAGTGTGCACAACCAGTTATTTTCAGTGTACTCTGTTAAATAACATACCCGAGGTATTTAGTACTTACCAATTTTGCTTTCTGTTACATAAGTGTCCTCAAATGAATATTAAGACATATGTGTTGACCATATTAGAAAGACCCAACCAAGGCTTAGCAATAATGTTTGCTTATATTCTGTACCTTCTCAGTACATTTTATTTTCAGTTGCCTTTTTTTCCCCCTGATACCAGGATCGAACTCACAACTTTGTGTTTGCCAAGCAGGCACTTAGGCTGCTGAGCTACCCCCCTCCCCCACGACCCCCTTTCAGTTGCCTTTGGATTGATGAATATTTTCCCTTTCCAAGTCAAATACCCTCTCTAGAAGCATTCATGGAACTCTTCATATAGTCCTCTGTTGAACATGCTACTCATCAGGGAGTTTCTTGTTTTGAATGCTTATTAATCATTTATCCCAAACAGCCAAATTAGGAAAACACTATAATAATTGAAAAAGGGGGAAAATTGTCTGCATTTTGTGCATATGTGTGTGGTACTGGGGCTCGAACTCACAACTTCGTGCTTGTCAGGCAGATGCTTATGCCATTGAGCTAAATCCCTGGCCTTTGTCTGCATTTTTTTTTTCTTTGCTTTCTTTTCATTGTTTTTCTTATCAAAAGAGAGCTGCCCCACTCTGGTCACATTCTTCGGGTTACATCACCAGGACAAGGACATCAGATGCAAATTTTCAATGAAAAGTTATAGCACTAAGTAATTAGAATACAAGATACTAAGCACTTGCTAGTTTAAAAGGAAAGTATTTCCATTTCCACTTTTAATTTATGCTGATTGTGAGAACTCTTCTTAATATTTTAAACTTTATTGTCATCTGATAAACTTTAGTATCATCCTTATTCCTCCTGCAAGCAGTTTAAGTTTGAAGCCTGTTGTCCTACACTTAGGAAGTCTATTGTCCTACACTTAGAAAGAATGCAGTTCTCACATGACATTGTGCACTTGATACTTTTAGCCTCATAACGATCTCATGAGCTCCACTTATATTTCTATTAGTAGTTCTTAGAGAATCATCTGATAGAGAAATGTAATGCATTTTCATTTCATACAGCTAAAGTGGGAAAAAAGACACACTTGTGTTTCACATAGAGAACTAGGTTCCTATAGTGCCTGTCCATTCTACTGGGACACTGTGGATCCTTTACTTATCATATGACCTTATTGGCAATCCTGTGCCCATTACTTTTTTTGGGGTCTCAGGGTAAGTGTGAGAAACCACCAGGTCCTCAGCTTCCTGTGCTGTGCAAACGAGGTGACAGAAGCATTTCCAAAGCACTGTCACGGGCAACTGAGTGCCAGTTGGATCGTATATCATCGTTGCAAACTGGTCTCTATTTGTGGATTTGCTCACTTATGTGTGGTGTTTGAGTTTGAGTGACACTGTGCTGTCATGTGTCCCCCTTGTCTTCCAACAGGAGACCGTGTGTTGTGGTTTAAATCTAAAATATTCCATACACATATTTTTGTTTGGAACGTGATTGCATTAGGTGGATTCCACATTTTGGAGTTCCATTGATAAGTTCACTAGTTCGCTTCATTGATAAGTTCACTAAGTGAGTGTGCTATAAGATGGTGAGGCCTGGTTGGAAGAATTTCTTTGAGCACATGTGGTGGAAAAGTATATCCTTGCCTGCAGCTTTAAGTTGTGAGTGTCTGGTGTTTTGTCCCTGTGACAGGAAATTGGTAAGACATTTGGCAGTGATGAATTGGACAGAAGTTTAGAGTACAGACCCTCTTATAAGATATCTTCCCAATCCTGGACTTCAGTGCAGTGACAATTACTCAATTTCCAATTATGTTTGCACATTACCAAATTAGAGGATATTTATAAAGAGGATGGAGCTGCAGAAATGTTTAAGGTTCTTGATGCTGAAACTAAATGGTAGAACACTTCCCAAGCAGGCTTAAACTCCAGTGTTAATATAGAAGCTCTGCTCTATATAGTAGCCATTTTTATATTTCTTCATTTTTAATTTGGGAACATAGCAATGCAGTCAATCAATTAATCTGTCACACTGTCACCATAGAGTTTAGAAAGCCAGGAATAAGGGAGGGAAAGTACCAGTTCAGGAATGGAAGATGAGAGCATTTCTCCACAGCACAACTTCTAGAGCTGGCTGCATGGCTAAGCACAGTGGGAATGTCTTTGAAGATGAGCACTGACCTGGTCATATGATTTGGGTATGAACGGAAGGACAGAAAAGCACCATCTGTCACATTGTTCCTGTAGTTTTTGAAAAATTTTTATGTGTTGTTTTTTTTTAAAACTCGAATAAAGATTAAAACAGGAATATGTATAAAAGCAATACTACAGTAGACTAAAGCCTTAAATGTAGGTGTGCAAGCATAGGAA